TGTGTTTTTTGAGCTTGCTCCTCCCTTTTCTGCGCAGCCGAAATCAATTTCTACCACTGGCACAATAAGAGAAAGCAAAAGGTTATTATCCTCTTCCATGGTGTTGTACGACTGCACATCGTTTCTCTCCCGAATTACTATTTCTCACCACATTGCGAACCAGTTCCATAAAGCTTCAACCATTCAGGAAACCCCACTGCCGATACTGAAACTCAGTGGACTAAAAGTTGGTGTGTTATGCTACGCCAAATTTAGACTGTAGGGATGCAGCACTCTGTCTAGTCTTCACCTTAAGTCACATCCTCCTAGTGTTAACAGGTTGCTCAATGATGGCAACACTGGCCCCCCAGGAGTGATTCACCCATCACAGTGCTGCAAGTCACAAAAAATCCTCCTAATTATTCGAAGGGAGTGGCCATCATCATTAAATGAGCAATCTCTGCCCCCGGGATATGACCAATCACAGTGCATGCGCCGTCACTATCTGAGACACTGATGTAATCTTGGGTGTACAGCACCACGCCCCCCTTTTCCCCTTTCCTCCCACATTTTGAATGGACGGCTCGGTTGTACCAATACTTTGATGCCATTCAATAGCAAACTGTATGCGGCGATTAATTTGTCCTTTATCCTTCATTGTATAACGTATGTAGCTAGAACAGATATTCTTCTGTTCCCTCTTTCCTCCCTTTCCGTATAGATTATAATAGACGAACTAACTGGGATGCATGAGAGTCCATTTCCTTTTCCTGCAACGTCCGAAAGGACGTTTCGTAATCCGCACTCCCTCCTCGCCAGCATTGACATTTATGAGATACTGGGGGGACAAATTCAACTGGAAGGCTCAATGGGTGAGGCCATCGCAATTCTATGCTGTCCTAAAGCCGTTGATTGCGGAGTGCTCGCCTTGCACAACTAATGTTCTGCATTACAGAATATTGCCAATCCTTACAAAGCCTTGAACAAGGTATGCATGATGAAGATTGGTTACAAACCTGTTGAAAAGATTTCATGGAGCAAATCGCAATGGCTCATGTAGATAAATACCAGTGATGCCAATGTATCGTGTGATGAAACTTATATCTATAGTCGCACATAAATAGTCTATGGTCAGCTTCTGCCAATGTACACATTAACAACTGCCGCCACATGCATAACAAATCAACTTACAACCAGGCCAACATAAAAGGAGTTGTTCGGGTGGATACGAACCACACCACAACACCCTGTGTCTCTTCCTTAGTGTCAGCTTCCAAGGCGGCTGTCACCCAGCAGGCTTTTGCTTTTCCGTGCCACGTGCCGCCACCCCGGTTGCTCTGCTTGCTGCTCTAGCCATGGAAGTATATCCTATAAGCGCATGCATATGACTGGTGAGTGGTGCATGGCATCTGAAAGCTTTCCCAGGCTACTGCAATCAAAAGTACAGTAGGAAATTGTGTGGTGGTGGACTTCCTACTGCTAAGGAACTGGTATCACATCCGGCTTTGGCTGTGAGCTACCACCAACATGTAAACCCACATCATGTGTAGAGTGGTGTGTCACAGCTCTGTTATGGCACACTGCACCTGCACATTGTTTTCAGTCATTAGCCATAACGGACATTTCCAGCCATTAAAAATCACTGAACCCGGTTCCGTGTCTAGGGAAAGTCGGGCGAGTTATCACACTACCCTTTGTATGCATGGGTCATGCTAATGAAGGTATCTGCTCTGTATGCATGGGTGCATCCTATTATGCCAAGCCGCAACTACGTACCTCTGTATGAAGTGTGGATGATAATGGTGCACACAAAGAAGTTACTCTTCCTACTGAGATTGATCCGAAATCATTCCACCAGCTGATTTCCTGATTGTGGTGAGAAGTGTCTGCACGAACATCCTGTGCAGTGGCGGTTTAGTTAACCACTTCCCTGGTCATTTGACATTACTACCAGCTATATACACCTTTTCACACACACTTGTGCAAGGTTTCACACACCTTTACTGCAGTACTTTGCACCGAAATCTGATATGATGAATTAATTTGCACAAAAAAATGTGTACCGTTTGCTTTTCTGCTGCGTATCAGATCTTCATCTTTACTTTCTCTGCTTTTTCCAACATAAAGACTAACTTATTTACGTTGCGTTCTAGGTATCGTGGAGGGTTGGATGTGGCAGGTGATCAGACCGGAGAGTAATCAGTCTACACTGAGTACAAAGACCGAGAGATCATGTTCCACGTGTCTACTCTCTTACCTTTTGATGAGCAGGATTCTCAACAGGTAACGTGTGAGAGCTATGGTGTGAGTGCAAGTATTGAGAACCTTTCGAGAAAGATTTCTTACACAATTTTGAGGTTGGGAGCATTTGAATATAATCTGTGAAATTCTACTCGTTTACTACGAAATAGCCCTCAAAGTTTCCTTGATGACATAATTTTACAGAAATATAGATGAATTTAGCTGGCTTCTCTAGCCATATCCATATGTAGCTACATATTGGCTGGTTACACAAGTCGTCTCCCACTCTTCAAGTACCGACAGAGTTTCATTGGGTATATACCGTCAGAAGACCTGCGGGAGGGGATTGTGTACGAAGTAGTGTCTGCAGATCAAGTTTCTTGGGAGGGCGGTCTCGTCAATTTCTTCAGTTCCCTGTATATAGTGGGAGTAGAAGTTTAAAGTTCATCACATATCACATGCTAAGTCATTTGTACCAAATTGATATAATCACGTACACTTTAGTATATGCATCTATAGTGCAAGTTATGTACATAATTATACTCTTGCTAGTTCAAGGTACAGATTCGATAGTAGATCATGATGCGTACACACGTACGTGCGTCAGTTATGTCTTATCCATCATCCGTGACCAGATCTCTTCCAGAAAGCGTCAGTCATGTCTTATCCATCATCCGTGACCAGATCCCTTCCCAGAAAGCCTCGGGGGTGCACGGACAGACATTCAATTTGAGTGCCTGATAACTAATCGAGCCACTCAGGTTGCCGTGTGTAGTATAGATTTATACAGGCTTTGAGACTCCCACAAGTAGGCGGTATAACAAGTACATGCACCGGTAGCCAAATATTACAGTGATCAGTTTGTATCCAGACTCCCTTCGAACAAATTTATTGGTCTGGCAGTGTGGGATCATGTATCACTCTAGCGTTTGATGAAAGACGTACAGTATTGTAATAACAGGAATGGAGTAAATGTGTCAGTACAAGTAAACATTTACGTGCATGTCGTCCCACGAAACTCTTGCTAGGGTCTATGCTATGTGCGTACTAGTGACGCCAAGCTTGGTGCCAATAATACATCGCAACAAGAGCTTTTGCTGGAGTTTGATTTCAGCCACAGAAAAACAAAGCTTGGCACCCATGTAATACTCTGCGCTGCACTCATGCACGTCAGTGATTGTAGACTTTTGTCCTTTTTTCCAGGTTCAGAGGAAGAGGCACATTGGCAACGACATTGTCGTTGTTGTGTTCCAGGTAACAATAAATTAACTAAAGCCCAACATACAACTTATCTCACGCAACATGTTGCATGAGGTAAAGTTGCCCTGTGTATGTTGAGAAAGTCCTGCATTTTCAAATTGCATGGAATAGGCAACCGTTATATTTTTCCATGCAGCAAGTTGCACACATTTTGCACACAACTTCTGTCCAACACACTTGATGCAACTTTAATGAGACTTTCGTAACAAAACTCTCTCTTAACCCAATATGTACACCAAATCCCAATACGTTTATTTGCTAGCTGCTTCCACATCCTTTGGGAAAGTGTGCGGCAACTTCAGGTACAATAGGAGGGTAAAGCCACTGTGATTTGACCATTTATGGAAATGTGAATCTAGTGTGGAAAGGATTCGAGCTCACATACACACTTACCTTGGCAACAACCTATAAACCACAAGGGGGACTTACTGCACTGTTAGCTGTTTTCTTTCCTGTTTTTTGTAGGAAGAAAACACACCGTTCTGTCCAAATATGGTTCGGTCACACTTCGTTCACTGCTACATTGTTGTTCAGGTGGAGCATCCTAACACAGACCACACTGTCTACAAGGTAGCAAAACTGTAGTGCTTGCGTAGGTTCCGTGTGTCTATCATGTGTTGTAAATAAGGCATCACTGCTGTAAACGGAAAACTTAGTTAAGTTCCCGCTAGCCAGAACATTGCTCGATTTTTTCAACCACAAGCCACAAATTGTTATGACATACATGCATGCTTCCAGATGTTCAGTTTTGTCTTAACCCTTGTGACCCTTTTGTTTTATGATATCGTTGATAGCCGGTCTTGTTTCTCATCTATTGTAAAGTGAGCAAGTGTTCAGTAATTGGTTAGTTGACTTAGTCCATGCTTTTATACCATGTGAACCTATATGAATTGTGTGCATACCGAGAACCAGCTGGATGAAAACATATACCAAGTACAAAACCAAAATTCACTTGACTGCATATAACACACTCTCCTTGACACAGGTGTCAATGGCGTGCAAGGACCAAGTCCCTGATTTCGGACCGCCACTCTGCTCACCATCCATCTTCCGAAAGGGACCAGAATTCAGAGATTGGCTCATCACAAAGCTACTCAATGCCGAGTTCAATTGTCACAAGGCTCCAGACTTCCTGAAGCTAGCGGTACGTACATACATAATGCACTCGTGTCCTTTACAGAAAAGGCACACAGTTTTGTGTATATACTCTCTATGAGAGCCAATGAGCTTTTTAGGGATAATGAGAATCACATGCTATGTGTATGGCTGCGAAAAAGGTTCCATATGAAGTCCACATGTGTTTGGTTGCATCATTTTACAGGGTTCCATCCAACTTACCTAATGTAATACTATGTCAACCTTACCCTTGGCAAGTTTGCACTTGATTTAAAAGGCTATGGGTGTATCTACTGCTGGGCAAGTGCCCACGTTACGCATTCTATGACGTATGTACATGTAAAAACTGCCAAAGTCTTCAATGGGCTGCCATATTCTTGCCGCGGTTGAGCTAATTTCACTCACCAAATGACCAAAAGTACACAGTTATGTATATACACAAGAGTGCCTTGCCTAAAGAGCAGAACGTCATGTTCAGGTCCCACTTAGAGCAGTTTTTTACTCTTTGAAAAAAACGTTCTCTGGTGTCGTAGAACTTTTTCCACCACACTTGCCTTGCTTTCATACTTCACTTATGATTCATGCGGTATAGTATGTGTCTATACCAAGAAATTGCCTTGTTTGTATCAATAGGTGTAATTCCATTTCATAGGAGATTTATTTTGTGGTTGTTAGCTTGTTGGAAATAATTTACGCCTATGTATGTACGTACCAGATTAAACACTTGTGCCTTTATTGTGTTCCACCTTGTGTGTGTGTACAGATGCGGACTCACTCGCAGCTCTTTCGGCATCTTGTCGATGACATTGCCAACACAATGGATGATTTTGACCACCCATCACTGGGGAAAGGAAAATTTGTAAGTCACCCACCACCAATGTACAGTGAAACCTTTTTATAAGAGATATTTTATGGACACTGAAAGTGTCCTCTATTCAGAGGTGTTCTTTATTTGGGGCAGAACCCTGTGTCCTTTGGAGGTTTATTCAGAGGTTCCTTTACTTCACGTATCTACATTATGTGTGCTTCATAGAGTCAGAATGCTACTATGTAGAGGCGCAACACATATAAAGTGGTGATCTATGAGGAAACTGGTGTTTAGATGAACCAGTAAAAACACAAGAGGCACATGTATGAACTTTCGATTGGAGGATTCAGGGAATTGTTAGGTTTGGAACGGCCCAATCATTGTCTATTGACTGATATTTGCCAGCCACAGGATATGAATGCATGAATCCCGCCAACTATGGGATGAGTGTCATTGCTAAGGTATAGCACCGGTAAACAAACAGTTCATGATCACCTTAGCCACATATAAGATCATCCCTCTGTCCATGGGCAAAAGCGATAAAATTCACTGGTAAATAAACAGATCACTTACCTTAGAGAGGTAAGATCATCACTCTCATTAGAGGTGCATATTGTGCATGCAGTCTATTTACGGTGATCTAAGAAACCCAGGAGCTTGGTAGTAGCAACTGCAAGAGTGATGACCCTATTTGTAAGTACACTTGCCCATGTAGCCTAATTATTCAGATACTGACCACATCAATCGTACTATAGGAGCAATAAGTAATTCATTGTTCCTACTGTATATATAGTATAGTATGATGGATGCACTCTTTGGAGTAGAGGAAGTAAGGTTATCACACTTACAGTCGCTTTACTTCCCATTTACTCCAAGAGTTTCCTTTGTCTTGTAGCTCTATCGACAGACAGCTCGGAAACTACAGGTTTCAATGAACAGGAATGGCCCCTTGCATCCAACCCTCAGACAGTCTGTGGTGAACATTTTCATCCTTATAAAGTGTCAGGGGAAGGGATGAGTGGGTGCTATGTCCTGTGCAAGACCTGTACGAAATTAAGTAATGGTAGGTAGGTAGGTTTCCACCTACCAAAACACTGTGCACATACGTAACTTGCTGAGTAACAGCATGAAGTATTGGCAGAAGCTTTATACAGTAGACTTCTGCCCCAACTAGTCTTGTATATTTTCAGTGGTCACTGTAATGCAAGCCTATGCTGTACTTATTGTACCTTTGACGTAGGGTGTTAATTCAGTTACACACATCATAAATCTCTTATATGAAGTAACAAGGAATCTAAAAGCCTTGGCTAATCGATGACACTGGCAGCTTGCCTAGTCACAGATACTCTCACGCTGGTATCCACGGCAATAGACACACTTTCAGTCAAATCCCAAATGAATCTAATTAGTGCCGACTTCTCTGCTGTGCCAGAACAAAAGGCGGTAATTAAGTAAGTCTCTTTGCCAACTTCACTACAAGCATGTATATACAATACTCATACCCCTAACTAATAACATTTTCACAGCATATTATACAATTGGTATGCACTTAAACTTTATGGGCAAACGAGACGGTAATTGCATGATTTTTAAACTGTGAAATTTGCTCTGTAAGAGCATGTGCTCTTTCATGCATTAAACTGATCTCTCAAAGCGTAAAGATAATACCTCCGTACCATAATACCTCCACAATACAAATATTATTGTCACTTTAAAATAGTGCTCTTAAGTCATCGGACTGTATATTATGCATATTCGGATGTTTTTATTGCAGGCACAGGTGTTTGAAGTGACAAAATCACCTCGTCGACAGCGAAGGAAGACTTTCTCAAGCATATTCAACAGGAAGGAGTCGTTTGCTGTCACTCAACCGAAAAAGAAACTGTCAGAAACAGTTGCTCCTTCGGGAAAGGTCAGCTTGTTACAGTTCCTAGCTCCCGAGTGTTCCTTATAGATTGAGATTTAATTCCAGCTGTAATATATTAGATCATTGACACTCATAAGCAATGATTCCTTATTGATGGAGCTTAGATCATTTCACTGCTTTTTTATTGAGGTGTTACATAACATTTTGACGGTCTGTTTTATGTGGCTACGTGCGTTTGTTACAGGGAAAATAAATCAAGCAGTGATAAAAGCCAATAGATTCCTAAGAATTGTGCCAATGGCACAATAAAACTTGGTCTATCTATTAAGCAGAAAATAATAATGGTAGCACAAGACGCCAAAGACCTCCAATCGTGTACACAAGTATGTACATGACAAACACTTACTTTTGGCAAAGGTGCTCTTTAACAATTAATTTCAAACGCACAACTTTTGCGTAGGGGTATGGTTTTCACTGTTTCTTTGCCTCTTGTTCCAGAGCTCCAGCTACCAGAAGCTTCGGATGATCAGGGGTTCTAAGAGCTCTTCCAGGATGAACCTGCCGCCAATGATGTTTGGCAGCACACCAGACCTTAGCATAATTGCCGAGTAAGAAGCTCCCTATTTCAGGAATGAGTGTGCATAGCAATATGAATAGACGTGCATAACATAACTGTTCAAAGGGACTAGTTACCATGATGATAAAGTAGACTAGGTGGCTGGGAAGGGGGCATGTAGCTTGGCTGAATTTATCTCTAACTTCCAGTCGAGGAAGCTTTCATTCAATCCACATCCGTCTTTGGCCCCAAAAAATCAGGAGTCATGGAACTGTATGTGGGTGTATAGTTCACTGTCTCTGTTTGCCCACCTTATTACAGGCAATCTTCTCGCTCGTTCACTGACAGCCCAGATGAAGCCAAAAGTGCTGAAAATACACTCACCAAGAGCAACAAGGTCAAACGGCGGTTCACCTTCACAAGATCCAAGTCCCCCAAATCGGGCACACGGCGAAACTCGGAAGCGGCGACACAATCCGGCGAATTCTCATCGAATCTCTTTCGCCGTCGGAAGGAATCCACCCAAGGTGCAAAGGTGGTCTCGCGTACCTCCAAGAGAGACAGCTCAGATGAGTCGTCTATAAACTGGAGCATACCTTCGGATCTTCCCGGCATTGTGGAAGGGAAGATGGACCGAGGATCGATGGAAAATATGTTTGCGGAAGTAGAGGAGCTGCGTGCCCGCTGCCAGTCAACCCCAACTATTGCTGAGAGGAGGGAGAGCATCTCTTCGGTTGACACGGAAGAAATGAGGGTGCCTCACAATGGGCCTATAATGGTCAACGTAGGAGTCCAAGTAGACACTGCTGACCCCATCTTTCAGTTTCCGAGTGCGTTCCCAGGCAGCCACTATGGTTTTTATCACAGTGGCTCTAATAGAAGCCCGCCAGAAACTCGATCGGTGCCACAGAGTCCGTACAGCCTCGGGCGAAATCGGAGGAGTGGAGCTCCAAGAGTAGTGTCCTGGGGGGTTTCATCGATGGGTAATGGAGATGTAATGCGACCGCTGGACCAGAGACTCGATGGCACCAGTAGCAGAAGAACTGCTCATATCGGATCATCTCCCCAGCTCAACACAGGTCGCACTAACGGTCATTTCACGGATACTCAAAAGAGAGACAATGTGAGTTTCTGTGTGTGTTTGCCTGCACACTTGCCAGTGACATCATGCATGCACTCATTTTCCAGTTTTCTTCATTTTATAGCAATATGCATGCAGAACTCTCCCATCATTAATGGCTCATTGCTACCTGTGCACTTTTCTTGCAGGAGAAGCAGATTATGAGGGAAAGCTCACTGGACAGTGTCTCAACTGATTTGGATGATGTCTGTGGTAAGCATCTACGCAGCGGCTAGTAAGACTTACAAGTGTATCTATATACACCAACAGAAACTGATGTAGGGTTAAATTATCATAAGTATTTACCTACTAGAATCAGAGATTACAGTCCATACAGTTCACCAATGCATTGAACTTCCATGTGCATCCCCTTACATTCACATTCACCATTTCCTCTTGTTGCGTAGATTCTTGGTGAGTTCACTGCCAAAACCTGACAGTTGAGTCGAGCAAACTCCACGAAGATAACGTGACCTCACACCAGAAAACCTGGTAAGTGAAAAGATATGACACTTTGGTGTATCATTGGAAAAAGAGACATTGTAATTCATCAGTATTTGCAGACGTGCACATAGTGCAAAATGACTTGTGCACTATACAAATCACAGACATCGATTCCTTCCTATTTATTTCATATGCAAATATCATGTGAGTTTAGCATCAAGCAAGCAGTGCATTCAGATTGATCGTGTACATCGCATCGTCAACGAGACTCGTGATTCCTTCATCTTTCGCGTGTGTGATTACTTAAACTCTAGTACACAGATCAACTTCATAATGATCCAATCTTGCCAATAAGCATACGGGCATCCCTAAGATAGTTGGGTCAGCCACAGTAGTGCGAGTGGATTATGAACATAAGAGAGTGCGATCCCTCTCTTATCCAACCACCACATAATCACTGACTCAGATGTCTTCCATGTGTTTTCCTCTGTGTAGTTGGTGAGAGTGCGTGTGTGACGGATTGATGGTTTGAATGGTAAAAGGGATTGACTTGTAGTCTACACATGCACACTGTACACATTGCAAGATCACTAGGAGCCATACTAGAGTTGAGCAATCTCCCTCCTACACAAGGAAATGAAAAACAGTCTCTGGCTTCAGATCAATCTGAATGCACTGCTTGCTTGATGCTAAACTCACATGATATTTGCATATGAAATAATAGGAAGGAATCGATGTCTGTGATTGTATAGTGGGCACAAGTCCTTTGCACTATGTGCACTCTGCAAATACTATAATACAAATGTCTTTCTTTTTCCAATTGATACACCAAAGTGTCTATATCATTTTTCACTTACCAGGTTTTCTTGGTGGAGGGTCACGTTATCTTCGTGGAGTTTGCTCGACTCAACTGTCAGGTTTTGCAGTGAACTCACCAAGGAATCTACGCAACAAGAGGAAATGGTGAATGTAAGTAGGGGATGCACATGGAAGTTCAATGCATTGGTGAACTGTATGGACTGTAATCCGATATCTAGTAGTAAATACTTATGATAATTTAACCCTACATCAGTTTCCTGTTGGTGGTATATAGGTACACCTGTGTAAGTCTTACTAGCCGCGCGTAGATGCTTACCACAGACATCATCCAAATCAGTTGAGACACTGTCCAGTGAGCTTTCCCTCATAATCTGCTTCTCCTGCAAGAAAAGTGCACAGGTAGCAATGAGCCATTAATGATGGGAGAGTTCTGCATGCATATTGCTATAAAATGAAGAAAACTGGAAAATGAGTGCATGCATGATGTCACTGGCAAGTGTGCAGGCAAACACACACAGAAACTCACATTGTCTCTCTTTTGAGTATCCGTGAAATGACCGTTAGTGCGACCTGTGTTGAGCTGGGGAGATGATCCGATATGAGCAGTTCTTCTGCTACTGGTGCCATCGAGTCTCTGGTCCAGCGGTCGCATTACATCTCCATTACCCATCGATGAAACCCCCCAGGACACTACTCTTGGAGCTCCACTCCTCCGATTTCGCCCGAGGCTGTACGGACTCTGTGGCACCGATCGAGTTTCTGGCGGGCTTCTATTAGAGCCACTGTGATAAAAACCATAGTGGCTGCCTGGGAACGCACTCGGAAACTGAAAGATGGGGTCAGCAGTGTCTACTTGGACTCCTACGTTGACCATTATAGGCCCATTGTGAGGCACCCTCATTTCTTCCGTGTCAACCGAAGAGATGCTCTCCCTCCTCTCAGCAATAGTTGGGGTTGACTGGCAGCGGGCACGCAGCTCCTCTACTTCCGCAAACATATTTTCCATCGATCCTCGGTCCATCTTCCCTTCCACAATGCCGGGAAGATCCGAAGGTATGCTCCAGTTTATAGACGACTCATCTGAGCTGTCTCTCTTGGAGGTACGCGAGACCACCTTTGCACCTTGGGTGGATTCCTTCCGACGGCGAAAGAGATTCGATGAGAATTCGCCGGATTGTGTCACCGCTTCCGAGTTTCGCCGTGTGCCCGATTTGGGGGACTTGGATCTTGTGAAGGTGAACCGCCGTTTGACCTTGTTGCTCTTGGTGAGTGTATTTTCAGCACTTTTGGCTTCATCTGGGCTGTCAGTGAACGAGCGAGAAGATTGCCTGTAATAAGGTGGGCAAACAGAGACAGTGAACTATACACCCACATACAGTTCCATGACTCCTGATTTTTTGGGGCCAAAGACGGATGTGGATTGAATGAAAGCTTCCTCGACTGGAAGTTAGAGATAAATTCAGCCAAGCTACATGCCCCCTTCCCAGTCACCTAGTCTACTTTATCATCATGGTAACTAGTCCCTTTGAACAGTTATGTTATGCACGTCTATTCATATTGCTATGCACACTCATTCCTGAAATAGGGAGCTTCTTACTCAGCAATTATGCTAAGGTCTGGTGTGCTGCCAAACATCATTGGCGGCAGGTTCATCCTGGAAGAGCTCTTAGAACCCCTGATCATCCGAAGCTTCTGGTAGCTGGAGCTCTGGAACAAGAGGCAAAGAAACAGTGAAAACCATACCCCTACGCAAAAGTTGTGCGTTTGAAATTAATTGTTAAAGAGCACCTTTGCCAAAAGTAAGTGTTTGTCATGTACATACTTGTGTACACGATTGGAGGTCTTTGGCGTCTTGTGCTACCATTATTATTTTCTGCTTAATAGATAGACCAAGTTTTATTGTGCCATTGGCACAATTCTTAGGAATCTATTGGCTTTTATCACTGCTTGATTTATTTTCCCTGTAACAAACGCACGTAGCCACATAAAACAGACCGTCAAAATGTTATGTAACACCTCAATAAAAAAGCAGTGAAATGATCTAAGCTCCATCAATAAGGAATCATTGCTTATGAGTGTCAATGATCTAATATATTACAGCTGGAATTAAATCTCAATCTATAAGGAACACTCGGGAGCTAGGAACTGTAACAAGCTGACCTTTCCCGAAGGAGCAACTGTTTCTGACAGTTTCTTTTTCGGTTGAGTGACAGCAAACGACTCCTTCCTGTTGAATATGCTTGAGAAAGTCTTCCTTCGCTGTCGACGAGGTGATTTTGTCACTTCAAACACCTGTGCCTGCAATAAAAACGTCCGAATATGCATAATGTACAGTCCGATGACTTAAGAGCACTATTTTAAGGTGACAATAATATTTGCAATGTGGAGGTATTATGGTACGGAGGTATTATCTTTACGCTTTGAGAGATCAGTTTAATGCATGAAAGAGCACATGCTCTTACAGAGCAAATTTCACAGTTAAAAAATCATGCAATTACCGTCTCGTTTGCCCATAAAGTTTAAGTGCATACCAATTGTATAATATGCTGTGAAAATGTTATTAGTTAGGGGTATGAGTATTGTATATACATGCTTGTAGTGAAGTTGGCAAAGAGACTTACTTAATTACCGCCTTTTGTTCTGGCACAGCACAGAAGTCGGCACTAATTAGATTCATTTGGGATTTGACTGAAAGTGTGTCTATTGCCGTGGATACCAGCGTGGAGTATCTGTGACTAGCAAGCTGCCAGTCGAGTCATCGATTCGCCCGGCTTAGATCCTGGTTCCGTCCTCTAAGAGATTTATGCTGTGTGTACACTGACTACACCCTACGTCAAAGGTACATAAGTACCGCATAGGCTGCATTACACGTGACACTGCCCACTATACAAGACTAGTTGGGGCAGAAGTCGACTGTAAGTAAAGCTTCTGGCCATACTTCATGCTGTTACTCCAGCAAGTTCGCGTATGTGCACAGTGTTTTGGTAGGTGAACACCTACCGTACTACCATATTACTTAATTTCGTAAGGTCTGACACAGGGCCTGAGCACCCACTCATCCTTCCCCGGACACTTTATAAGGATGACATGTTCACCCAGACTGTCTGAGGGTGGATTGGCAAGGGGCTTCCTGTCATGAACCTGTAGTTTCCGAGCTGTCTGTCGATAGAGCTACCGACAAAGGACACGCTGGAGTAAATGGGAGTCACAGACGACGTGAAGTGTGATAACCGTATCTTCTCTACTCCAAAGAGTCGCAGCCATCATACTATACTATATATACAGTAGAGGACACAATGAAGTTACGTCTGCTCTATAGTCCGATTGAGTGGGCAGCACTGCATAATAGGCTACATGGGCAAGTTACTTACAACTAGGGTCATCACTCTGCGTTGCTATCCAGCTCTGGGTGTCTTAGTCACCGTAGATAGACTGCATGCACATATGCACCTCTAATGAGAGGGATGATCTGACCTCTCTAAGTAAGTGATCGGTTTATTACCGTGAATCTGCTTTTGCCATGGACCGAGGGACGATCTATATGGCTCCTAAGGTGATCTGACGTGTTTGTTACGGGTGCTATACCTTAGCAAAGTGACACTCAGCCATAGTTGGCGGGAGGATTCATGCATTCATATCCACTCCGTGCTGGCAAAATATCAGTCAATAGGGGGACAATGATTGGGCCGTTCCAAACTAAAAATTCCCTGGAATCCTCCAATTCTCGAAAGTTCATACATGTGCCTCTTGTGTTTTTAACTGGTTCATCTAAACACCAGTTTCCTACATAATCACCACTTTATAGGTTTGAGCCTCTACATAGTAGCATTCTGACTCTATGAAGCACACATAAGTGATACGTGAAGAACGGAACATCTGAATAAACCTCCAAAGGACACAGGGTCTGCCCCAAATTCAAGAACACCTCTGATAGAGGACCACTTTCAGTGTTTTTTTTCCATAAAATATCTCTATAAAAAGGTTTCCACTGTTAAATTGGTGGGGGGGACTTACAAATTTTCCTTTCCCCAGTGATGGGTGGTCAAAATCATCCATTGTGTGGCAATGTCATCGACAAGATGCCGAAAGCGCTGCGGAGTGAGTCCGCATCTGTAACACACACAAGGTGGAACACAATAAAGGCCACAAGTGTTTAATCTTCTGTCCGTACCTAACCTAGGCGTAAATATTTCCACAAGTACCCCCCCCCCCCTCCCTCTCCTATGACCCTGGCCTTCCCCCCTCTCTGGGGTGAACAAACCCGGGGTTCGGCCCCCCCAACGGACCCTAATCTTGGGGTCGACACTTCGTTCCCAGTCACACACGGATTTTCCCGTTCCCGGAGGCCCACAGAAACCTGACTCCTCCACCCGTGTACCGTATGTTGTAA